ATAAGCTATTTCAGGTTTACGTAAGCGCACGGACCCGTGCGCCTAGTGGGAGCCCTCATCAAAGCTTAAATCTTTGCCCAAGTTCTCTGTCACTCCTAAACTTCCGACGACTAACCATAAGGCGACAAACGACATGTCTATCTTTCGACGACTCCGCTAAGCGCGTTTATGGAAGAGTGTTGCTCAAAGAATCGAGCAATAATTGTTCAAAACAACTCTTATGGAGTTTCAGGTGAATTATCTCAATGCTGTGACGAGAACCTCAACAGTAAATCAGGTGCGCCTCGCGAAGTGCTCAGCGACTTGGTCGACTCCTAGCATTGTGATTACCCCGCCAGCTTGAGATAGAGGCAGTGTATATGTTTATTCAGGAGATTATGGCGTAAACCTGGGGGTCCGGGACTGACGATGAAAGTCAAGGTTAGCAACAAGTGTTTCTCTAGGTGCTGGCGCTACGATGGACCCTGGCCCGGCAGCCACTCCAAAATAAGCGAGACTACTAGTGTACTGTAGGAGGGGCCGATATAAGATGCGTCGACAACCACCTCCGTCGCAGGACACAACGTCTCGGCCTCATTAAGCAGGACAACTCGTATACTTACATGACCAACGCGCCCTCCGTCGAAGTCCATGCACACCAAGCATTTGTCTCTTCAGCTGTGTAACCACACGTTGAAGCTGACGCACAATCGCACATCGAGCGCCGGGTCAGACTATCAGCCGTGGTGCGTTTGAATTGCGAGGAGATCGCTCAGTTCCTCTGTTCTTAGAAGAAGTTGCCTTCACCATACCATCTACGAGTCCTCCCGGGTCACGACTTTGTCTTTTTGCTCGGTCCTCAATTATGTCGCGTCAAGCCTCAAGTCCCGGCCCTCGACGGTAACGGTTTACGCCCGCCACTCAGGTTAGGTTCTTTTCAAGAGTTCATTCGCTACCAAGCGCAGATGAGGGAGCGAGCGAGCGTCTTGTGCACCAAGTACGATAACATTAGTTAAAGCCAGGTGAGATGGAAGTTGAGGGGCAACCGGCGAGGGAAGAGAAACGTGTCGGGCGTCGAAGTGGCGTGGAACCTTTCCAAGTCAACAACACCGTTCACGGCAACTCTTTAACCATCGGTTGGAGTTTGCGGCAGGCTCAACATGACATCAGAGTTTCATGCATAAAGCAGCCGCCAGTTGAGTGGAACGCGGCTCGCGGAAGCAGAGACTGCGCGCCGTGTTTGAATATTTTGCGCGCATAGGAGGCTCCATTGACAACAGGTCTCACGGATTCAACGTCTTTGGTTCCGGCTTCTCGAAACAAACGAAAGAAACGCAAGACGGAGGGATAATCATGCAACTCCGGCATCAGCGACCGAACTTTCCAGGGTTGCCAGATCATCCGGGCGGTTTCCTGACTGGGCATCAAGACAACCTTCTCGACGTCTTCCATGGCGGACGTCGTGGCATCACGCTCCTCAGGGGCACACACGCATCGAGCATTTTCTCAAAGACTTGCAGGACTGGGCGCGCAAGTTGCAGATCCCGGCGGCCGCAGAGGTATCCTCGCTTTCGTCCCTTTTCGTATCGTTCGGTCGATGCTCCGTGCCGAGCAAGCGTCTGGTGTGGGTGGTTTAGCCGGGGCTGTGAGAGACCGTCGAATTGGGCGGCACACAGCAGTGCAAGCGGGCCGTGGAGTATCATGATCGGCATCGACAACAACCCCCTACGTCCCTGCCAAGCCTGCGTCATGCAACCCCAGTGGCACTGGGGCTGGGGAGAACCTGGGGTACGGGCTGGGATTGCCGGCTAAAAAACCACGGGTCAATTGGTGCACTCTATTGGAGGTCGCGGACAATAAAAAAGCTCGGTTTCAGGCCACGGCAAAGTTTAGCCACCAACTGCCGCCTAGCGCCGGGAATGAGATTCTGGGCTAGCGTATGTAACCGTCAGATGTCATCTTGCTCACGTCGGATTGGGACGACAGAACAAGAAAACCAGACTGAGGAGGCATTCTCGAAGTCGAGCTCAACACGACGAAGCCAAGGAGCAATAGCCAAGACTCACCAGATTCGAGGAACAGGAGAAGACCGTCACAACTTGGAGTCTCTGCCCGACCTGCATGCGGAGTCCCCCGCATTTTCCTTTTTTGGTGCTCTTGGGCTCGATCGTTGATGCGCAGAAGATCGCGGGTCTGCAGGCAACCGGCCGATGCCCTTTGCAGTTCGAGATGGCGACTAAATGAATTCGGGTTGTATCTACGAATAGCGAGTCGCCTTGTAAAAAGGAAAAACAGAGAGCCCTCTAGACCCTCGACTTCCTTGAGCCGCGCAATTTGCTCAATGGACTCAGTTACTTGGTGCCACGACTTTCCTCGATGAATCAAGCCATACATACTCCCTGCTTGGATAAACGAGCGTCACAGAGAACCAAACACAACAAGTCACGACAACGTAGAACAACACCAGGTTCTCCGCCGAGTGCGGCCGATTCGCCACAGAGATCGGGGAGGCTTCTGCTCCGTTTCCATAAAGTTCTCCTCTCACGATTCTTCCCCATGTGGCGGACCGTTACCCGTTGATCGGCATATCGAACAGTTCCCCACAACCCCAAACAAGCCCGCAGCCATGATCGCAAACGGCAAGGCGCTCCGTTGTCGTTGTTGTTGCCCCCGGCTTCCCCGGTTCACCCCCAGAGCCCCCCGGACGCCCAGCTTTCTCTATCCAGTGGCAGCGGCCCAGGCTGGAAACATCAAGGAATGTGCATGAAGAGGGGGAAAGTACCCCAGATTGTCAGGAACCGGCGTCCGTGGTGCAAATCCCCCAAATTCCCCCACTATTTTACTTTTTCCATGAGCCTTCTGTGCTTCTCCCGCATCACGACAGCATCCGCGGGCAAGCGTCGGCCAATCCGCTACCAGAAGATGGACAGGAAGGCAGGTTCGCGGAGAGGAGAGACCCGCCAGCGACGCATCGTAGCATGGTTGTAAATGAAGCTCGATATGAAGCGCGAGATGGGATCTGGCGAAGCCGTCCGCTTGCGGGGATCGGCACTCGCCTGGACGTGCTCGGCCAGTTGCTGGACGCGGGATCATGTCGTTTCCTTCGGAACATCCAGCCCGAAACGCCGTGTCCGCGCCGGCCCTGTGTTCCTTATTGCAACAAGGCGTGCTTGTGGACGGGCTTCCCAGCTCCAGGGGTGTGGGGATGATCGCCTTTGCCTCCAGAGCAACAGACTGTCCCAGCAAGCGTGCCAGCTTGGGCAAGCTACACTAGCCAACCGCCTTACCCCCCTTGCTCTCGCCCCCCACATCCGCGTTGGCCTCTCCATGGGGAAAATGGTGGGCAGGCCGGGCGCTTGATGAGATCGGGCCCAAAGACTCCGGGGATGGAAACAAGCCTAGATGCCGGAAAGGGGAACGGGGAACGGGGAAGAAGGAGAGAAGGAAAGGGAAGCAGTGCAACTCCAAGGGCCTACCCCCGTCGACCCAACCTTCTGTCCCGCTTGCGTCGGCCGGTATAAAGGTAGGACATTCCCCCCCTCGACGGCCAGACAGAAAGATCCTCACCACCAACCCATCACAGATCATCCCTTGTGTGTGTGAGTCCTTCGCCCATCATGAAGCTGTCGCAGTCTGCCTTCCTGGCGTTCGCCGCCTCTGCCCTCGCGGCCCCGTCGGCCACCACCCCCCAGAAGCCTCGCCAGGCCTCTGCTGGGTGCGAGGCTGCCGTCACCCTCGACGCCACGACCAACGTGTTCACCTCGTACACGCTGCACCCCAACAGCTTCTACCGCGCCGAGGTCGAGGCTGCCGTTGCGGCCCTGACCGACCCCAGCCTGGCTGATGCCGCCGCCAAGGTCGCCGACGTCGGTACCTTCCTGTGGCTCGACACCATCGAGAACATTGGCCGTCTCGAGCCCGCGCTCGCCGATGTTCCCTGCGAGAACATCATGGGTGTGGTCGTCTACGATCTCCCCGGCCGTGACTGCGCCGCTAAGGCCTCCAACGGTGAGCTCGCTGTTGGCGAGATCGACCGCTACAAGACGGAATACGTCGATGGTGAGTAACTTGCTCTTCCTCCCCCGAAAGTACCTATGCAGTGCGGAGAGAGCAGCTAGACTGACCAGTCTATCACAGCTGTCGCTGCGGTCCTCAAGGCCCACCCCAACACGGCTTTCGCCCTGATCATCGAGCCCGACTCGCTCCCCAACCTGGTCACCAACGCCGACCTCCAGACCTGCCAGGACTCCGCTGACGGCTACCGTGAGGGTGTCGCGTACGCGCTCGAGACCCTCAACCTGCCCAACGTCGTCATGTACCTCGATGCTGGCCACGGTGGCTGGCTCGGCTGGGACGCCAACCTCAAGCCCGGTGCCGAGGAGCTCGCTGCCGTCTACAAGGCTGCCGGCTCCCCGAGCCAGTTCCGTGGTATCTCCACCAACGTCGCCGGCTGGAACCAATGGTGAGATATTTGCTTTAATCCTCCCAAATATTCGACGCCACATTTTACTAACACATCCCAGGGACCTCACCCCCGGTGAGTTCTCGGACACCTCCGATGCCCAGTACAACTCGTGCCAGAACGAGCAGACCTTCGTCGAGACCTTCGGTGCGTCCCTCGAGGCCGCTGGCATGCCCAACCACGCCATCATCGACACCGGCCGCAACGGTGTCTCTGGCCTCCGTGAGGAGTGGGGTGACTGGTGCAACGTCGCCGGCGCCGGTTTCGGCCAGCGCCCCACCTCCGAGACTGGCTCGGACCTCGCCGATGCCTTCGTCTGGGTCAAGCCCGGCGGTGAGTCCGACGGTACCAGCGACGAGACCGCCACCCGCTACGACTCCTTCTGCGGCAAGTCCGATGCCTACAAGCCTTCCCCCGAGGCCGGTAGCTGGAACCAGGCTTACTTCGAGGACCTCCTCAAGAACGCCAACCCCGCTTTCTAAGCGAGGACAGCAACAGCGGCGAGAGCCGCAGTCGCAGCCGCGCCTCCGACAACACCCGCCGTCGCTACCAACATCGGTCTGCTTGGTTCTCTGGGCACTGATGGGAGCAGCGACGGCGGCGGGGCCGTGGGAGAAGGACAAAAAGGGTCTGGACTGGGTCAGGAAAACATGTACAAAGGGGCGCGGGGCACTCTCGTTGCCGCGCCCGAGTTCCTCCTTTACCATCATCTTCCCTTCTAGTGTAGTACATTCATAAGTCGTATATATGGGTCGGTTGAGATACTTGTTAGATTCCTGTCTTGAACTCCCCGTGAATGTGCAGTCACAAAATCCTACTATGAACCGTTTCCCCGTAATCCACTTAGCGCCTCAAAGAGAAAACAACCATGGTAAACAATGGGCGCAAAAACACGATGTCTAGTCCTCAAGACTCGCCCAAGCTCAAGCCCAACTCATCGACATTGAAACCCCTTTCCTTCTCGATCTTCTCCTAACTCCTCCACTCTAGAAAAGTGAACGGCCCCAAAGACAGGTTGGATATGGTAACCCACACACCGCAGGCCGCATCCATCATTTCCGACTAAAAGCCATAGTACACAAATATTAATACATAGATATTTACAACGGTCGACCCATCACCCAATTAATCCCTTTACCCTTTCGGATGCCTTCTCCCGCCGTTCCACTATTCCCCCTTTCGCTTTTTTGCGCAGCCTGCGACCGACAGACGAATTTTACCCGACCCGTGAGAATTTTGTCCTTGATTCGTTCCACCATCATCGTCGTTATGCCTATTCCCGTTCTCTTCCCTTTTAGTGATTGACCTCTGCCCCGGCTGATCGTCCTTTCAGTCCAGTGAGCTGTGAGCTCGTTTAACTGCCATAAATAAGCTTCTTCGGAGACACTTGGACCCCCAAAGCCCCAATTAACTGACGGCAGAGACAACGGAAGAAATGGAACGTTGCTCATCCATCTGTGAGTGAACCCAGCCCGAGAAGGACCTCAATTTCAAGTCTCCTCCTCCTTCTTCTCTTTCTTCATCATCTCCTCCTCTCACACACACACCACACCACCCCTCATTTCACCAACCTCCAAATCCCCAACCAAACCAAGCCAAGTGAAATAGTCGTAATCCCCGCGCTACGACTGCGCATCCCAAACCGTGAACCACTAGCAAGAATCTTCGCTTTTTGTTTCTCGAGCTGGGCTTGTCCAGACATGTAACTGTAGGCTGCTAGGCCTAGGAAGGCACCGCCGCCTGAGGGGGGTGTGCGAGAGATGTGAGTGAGTGGGTTTGTGAGAGTGGTGTTTGAGAATGAATTTTTGAGAGTGAGAAGTAAATTAGGTAGGTGAGTGAGGTGGTCTGTCTGGCTTACCGACGATCCTGCATGACAGGCAGTCGTCGCCGCGGTCTTCTTTGAGGAGATCCTGCAGCTTTTCGGGCTTGTCGAGGGATTGGACCGATGGGAGGCTGTCCTTGGCCATGGTGGGTTGTGGGAGCGGTGGGCGAGGCAGTCGGCTCTTCCTTTTTTTTTTTTTAGAGATTTTTATGTCCAGATATCGAACTCGTCTTCGCTGAACGGCTCGCATGAGAGATGGGATGCAAGTGAGAGGTGGTTTTACTGCCCGGATGAGGTAAGCTGGGGCAACCCTCGAAGCCGTCGAGAGGCCCCACTATTTAGACCCCTCGACGACCCTGAGCTTTGCGGCTCCAGCGCCATTGCGTCAGTGCTTCAGCGGGTCCGCGAGGCCTAACACCGTTGGACGTTGTTCGCCATGGAAGCTCCGATTTGAGCTCCATCCCATCATCAACAAAAGCCAAAAACCTCCACAATGAACGGCGTGGTCGAGGCGCTACACATCTACGACGAGCACAAGTAGGTTTTCTATCCAGGAACGGCTTCTTCATAACACTAACGTACAGTCTCCAGCGCCCCCGTCCTCTCGCACACCTACGCCTCGCGTCCCCTCTCGGCCACGCACCTGATCCCCCTTTACCTCGAGCACCCCGTCCCGCGCCCCAACCTCGTCTACCTGTCCAACACCAACCCGCCGACGCTGGTATTCAGCCTCCACCATGCGAACCTACTCTTACTGCTGACGACCTCGTCCGAGGTCGAGCCGCTGCTGATTCTCGAGTTCCTACACCGCGTGGTCGACTCGCTGGAGGAGTTTCTAGGCGCACCGCTGCTGGCACCGAAGATTGAGGCGAACTATGATGTGGTTGCGCAGTTACTGACGGAAATGTGCGATGGCGGAGCGGTGGGCACGACGGAGCCGAATGCGCTGCGGGACTTGGTTGAGGTCGAGGGGTTTATGGATAAGTTGCTGGGGAATTTGAATTTGCCGTCGTATGTTTCCTCTTTTTTTTTTCTCCCACCAGCTATGAATTCTCGAGGATAAGAAAACTAACACCCTCTCCCCTCCAGAAAACCCGCCTTCGCAAACTCCACCCCAACCCTGCACCACCCCTCCTCCCAATCCACCCCCGCGCTCCCCTGGCGCCGCGCCAACGTCCGCCACACCTCCAACGAGCTCTACGCCGACATCATCGAGACCCTCTCGGTAACCCTCGCCCCCTCCGGCCGGCCCCTCGCCGCCCTCGCCAGCGGCACCATCGCCTTCACCTCCAAAGTCTCCGGCGTGCCCGACCTCCTCCTCACCCTCGCGGGACCCTCGGGCAACAAACACAGCCTGGGACGGGTTATCGACCTGCCGGTGTTCCACCCCTGCGTGAGGCTGGCCAGGTGGAGGGAACAGCCCGGGGTGCTGAGCTTCGTGCCGCCGGATGGGCGGTTTACGTTGGCGGGGTATGAGGTGGATTTGATGCCGTTTGCGGCGATGGCGGAGGATGGAGGGTGGAATAAGTCGGCGGCGGCGATGCTGAAGTTGCCGGTTTCGTTGGAGATTAAGACGGGGCTGGGGCCGACGGGGTCGGATTTCGAGGTGCGGGTGCAGGTGAATCGGGTGTTTGGGCCGGCTGGAGGGGGTGGTGGGTCAGGGGGAACTGGTGGTGGCGGTGGTGTCGGGAGGGGCTTTGGCGTGGGCGTACCGCATGCCGGGACGCCAGGGGCACCGGCGTTACAGGACTTATCCGTGTCGGTGCCTCTACCGGCAGACGTGCGGAACCTGTCAGAAATCCGCCCTACGAGAGGCGACGCCACGTATAACCCCGGAGACCGGACGTTGGAGTGGTCCATCTCCAATAAGGAGCTGGCTCAGGGCACGTCGTCTTTCGGGCTGCGCTGCACCGTCGTTGGGCAAAACAACGGAGACGACGATGACGATGAGGCGGACTCGGACCCGACCGGTTTCGGTTTCGGCGGTGCGAGTAGCGCCTACGCTTACGACGAAACCTACCAGAGCTCGTCACCCACCAAATCATCCAAGTCAAAACCAACATCGTCATCATCATCTGATCCAGCAGCGTCCGGGGATAAAGACGACCGACGAGCGGCACAGAACAAGATCCTGATGCCCAGCTCGGCATCGGTCAGCTTCGCCGTCAAGGGCTGGCTGGCGAGTGGCATCAAGGTCGAGAGCATCACGCTCGACCCGCGCAAGAGTCGTGGGCTGGGCGAGAGTGTGAAGCCGTATAAGGGCGTCAAGTACCTGACGATCAGTAAGGGTGGGGTGGAGATTAGGTGTTGATGATGTCTGTCTGTCTATCCTGCCTGGTTGTCTCCTGCTGTTGTCTCCTACTTGCCGCCTCACGCCGTGTTTTAGGACCATGTTTGTTAGCGTGCTTGTTGTGTCACTGTCAACTTGTTCGATGTGGCTGATTACATGTTGCCTCGTATCAACCCCTCGACCCAGCACGAGGCGTTTTGGAGTTGGCGAGCTCCCCCCGCTGTTGGTACACTAGGTCACTCGTCAGTTGTCCTTCGTCGCAAAGATGATGTACCTCGACTTGATCCCAGCCCAACCGCCAAAGCCCGATTCTGCACTTCTAGAAAGGGAGGGGCCCGACACTCTGTTGGCGGGATGCAGTACCCGGCTGCACTTTATGCGTGGCCCCCAACAGCAGCAGCAGCCAGCCCGCCCATCCGCCCCCAAACATCTCCGAGATCCCCGAAACGGGCGACTTACATACAGGTCTCAGAGAGAGATCCCTTCACGCTTCTCAAATCTCAATGGTGCTTCGTTCTCCCGCCTACCTACTGACTCCGCCTTTCCATCCATCCATGTGCCCATGGGCTGGGCTGCCCCAAGACAATGCGGCTGATGCGCACCATAATCCATTAAAGAACCCAACCGCACGCACATGCGCATCCCCATACTATGTACATAATGGATGGGGGGCGCGAGGGCGCATCCCGTTGGTTCATAAACGAGAGCTGTCCCGGGATCTAGGGACTGAGTGGGAGATTTCCAGCCCGCGATTTTTATGCGGTTGCGACTTTCGTCACCCCACGGTGTCTCGCAGACACACACTCACTCACACCCGACTCACACTCACGCGCGCATGTCGGCTTTTCTTCCGGGCTGGCTGGCTGCGGCAGAGTTTGGAAACAAACCAGGGAGATGGGATATGTAGAGTAACGCCGTGGAAATAAATGGGATTTGGAAGCTCTATGAACTGTGTTGAATGCAGGGAGGATGTGTTACCTACCTTTTGCTTGTGCTCTGAATGGTGAGATCGAATCCCGATAGTGTGGGTTTGGAATCGGTGGTATATTGATGCATCGTAAATAATGTCAACACATCGCGCAAGGCGGCGGTTTGTAACACAGCAGCGCCTATGTCTGCGTTGTGTTGTTTTCTAGTTAGCTATTTCGATGCTGATGTTTGTTTCAAGCCGAGGGGAAACCTGAGACTGGTACACAGCATATGTTGAGCAAGCAGGCTGGGCAAACCGTTTCTCAAGTACCTATATCAGCATGTTTGTCCATTGTGCACTTCCTCGGGAACAATACCGAGACCGACAGCCGGCAATGCCACAAAGAAGTACGGCTGATATCCAACACACAACACCGTATCAGCAGCCGTTTTCGGGGACTGAACTCTACCGATCATCGTCCCCAACGTCCCCACGAGAGGACCGGACGAGTAGCCGGAGTGAAAGCCTCAAGGAGCCGAAGACTAGTAGTATGTTCCTGTGTACGGGGATACGGGTGGATATCACAACGTCAAAAAACGGCCATAATCCGACCACCCGACCGTCCGGCCCACAACTCCATGTCAAGTCCTTTTCACTGTGTACTTGTAGAGGTACCCGAGGTACATCTACTGTGGACTCTCATCTCCGGTGACCTGAAGTCGGCCCCCCCGAGCGATGAAGATCCAACAAACAGCCGCACGCACTTTCTCAAAAGGGAAGTTCTTTTTGCCATTCCTTGATCGCCCAACACAGAACCAACGGCCTCAGCCGTCCCTGCCGATTGGAACTGGAGGGCCGCCAAAAGCTCCGTGTAAGTCGTCCACTGCAGGGATCTATCTCCCAACGCCGCAAACCCAACCACCCATCGTCATTCCGACCAGATGCGAAGAAGACAATCCAGGAAAAGGCTCGCTTTTACTTCGTACCCTGTATATTTTCGTGATTCGTATTTTTAACCTTATTCTTACCGTCATCAACCCCCCGTGCCGGAACAACCCAACCTCCCCCTCCGTAGTGTAGCGTATTCCGTTTTCCGCGCCGCACCACGCCGCAGCGACACGCGCGAACCGAGGGAAGCCAAGACGGGACGATCTCGCGTGGGGAAAATGAAGAACAGCAAAAAAAGGGTTACGCTGCGGCGGCGAAATCTATTTCGAGGCTGCCTGATGAACCAACTGACACACACACACGCACACACATTCACTCACTTGCACCACACCACACACGCGGGCGCGCGCGGGGCGCGCTCCTCCCACATCGACTTTGCTCCCATGTGCTCTCTCCCGAAAGCGTGCGGGGGTGACACAAGGTCAGGAACGGTGAGACGCAGCGGGGCGGACGGGTTGTTGGTTGGGACGGGATGAACATGGCATGGCATGACTCGAGGCTAACCAAGACAAGTCACCCAACACCGGACTCAACACCACCAGTCTACTCCGTACCATGCCAGGAATAATTATCCATTGCACCGCTCACTGCGTAAGCTTGACGGAAACCAACCCGGTATTCGTAGGAAGGAAAGATTCGCACCCGAATATTATTTTTCTATTCTTTTCTTTTTTTTTTTTTTGCTTCCATTATTCTGCCCCGCATGTAATTCCATCCCAATTTCTCCCACCGCACCACAGGATGCTCCCCGCTCAGGGGTCACCTTCCTCCAGGATCCTAAACTGATGCCTTTCGGTCTCCCTCTTCAGGACCCGGTGATCATGCATTTCGCGCGCTGACATCCATCGCCGGGGAACCGCCGGGTGCTGCCCCCGGGGGCCCGTTCGGTCCCGTCCCCTAACTAATAAGCGCAAGCGCAACGGCAAAGGCGACTTTTACCGCGGGGATAAGGGGGGCACGGGGGAAGGGTTGAATACCGAGCTATTCAGCTGCCTGGTCGAAATCGGCTTGACATTACACTATCGGAAAAGGATGCTTGGGAAAGGACATCCCCCTCATTCCCTCATTCCAAATCTTCGTGTGAAAGGAGGAAACCTATCACAGCCACCAACCAACCAACACAACAGACCCAGCCAGGTCCTTGTCCATCAACCCGCGTTCTTGTTTATGTTTTTCCTTTTCCACCTTGTTTCTTCACCTATCCCGGCCCAGGCCAGCGGCCTTCGGACCGAGTCTAGCCCAATTTGTATTTACACGTCATGCCCGCATAGTGTTGTTGTTTTTGTTCTTACATACGGATACGGATAGTTATTCTCCGTTCCATCGGCCGTTTTCGCCGACCCGTGCCCGGCCAGGGCCGAGGCCGTGTGCGACCCGGGGGGCTGGGCCTGGCCGCGGGCCTATCCACAAAGTAGGCCGGGGCCAGGGCCGCTACGTCAGGTGAGGTGAGCAGTAAATGACGGTAGTTACATGGGGGTTCGGTGCGCCCCGGGACATGTGGTTGTTCACCGAAGGTCTAGAGGGGAAGTTTCTCTGCAGGATTCGATGTGGTGAGGCAAGGCAGCCTGTAATCTGTGCGGCGATATCGATGAGGCTGATTGAGGGAAGAGGTGTTGAGGGAAAAGGGGTGAAAGGGTAAAAAGTGAAGTAGAAAAACATCAAGCTGTAAATTCTAAGCATGCATCTAACCCGCCTCCAACCTTCTATCGAGAAAAGAAGGGGCTGAGTAGGTTACGGGGTTCGCGAAGAGCATCCTCACGATATTTTCTTCACAAGGCAAACAAGCAGAGAGCAAGGCATCCAAGCGAAACACAACATTTCCCCATTCGTATCACCAACGAAAACAGCCCATCTCGTTAATGCCTCAAACACGCAAAACTCCCCTTGTTCTGCAAGACGAGGCAAGGCAAGGCTCGCAAGGCGGAAGTGAAGAAGAATCCAGCCGAGCGTGCCATCAAACCAACCCAACAACCCAAACAAACAAACAAACACAGTCTCACCACTCATACACCAGCCTCTCCAAACGAAACAACACGTTCCCCGCTCTCTCCGAAACCTAGAAGCGGAAAAGAAAAACAAGAAACAAACACACGATCCGGTCGGCCCCCAAATGACCACGAACACACCCACTTCTCTTCCCTAGCGGCCGGTACACTTTAATTGCACATCAAGGCTGCAAGAGACAAACAAAACAAAACAGAAATTAAAACATGCAGGTCAGGTAGTGTGGAAGGTGTACATATAGTGCATGCATGCACCGTATCAGCTGGCCCCCAACATGTGTTGAATACATCGTATATTTCCTCAGCTCGGTTTCAGCCGCCTTTTCTCAACTGGTAGGTAGGACTGGTTATAGGGCGTGTTCATGGAAAGGACAATAGGTCCGCGAGGTAACAAGTCAAGGCGGCATAAGGACAACCAAACAAGCAACACTGTGGATGAACTTCAAGTTTGAAGAGAACGAGCATCGGATGAAATTTCACACATAAAACACAAGGCACAGAGTTAAGACTAGAATAATGATTACTTCATAAGGAACAAAAAGCGAAAACAAGAGTCATCTTCATCCCATCCATATAGGCACGCATACATACACAGAACAAAATCGTATTGCTGCGTTGGGAAAACTGGGGGTATCATAGGAGATGGTGTAAAGTGTGAGAGGAGCGGGAAATTCGAAAACAAACATCATGACATCTTGGAACAAAAACACGCCCAAATGAGAAATCCCGTCCATCCGTCCTTAGTTCGTCCGTGTGTCCGTCCGTCCGTCCGCTCGTCCGTCGTGTGTAATAAGGTATATAGGGGGGAATAACAAGACCTCAGGAGATAGAAAAGGAAAAGAAATAAAAGAAGGAATAGGCAGACAACGGCATGATAAGGGGATCAAGAGAATAAAGAGTTATCATGGATATTAAAATACTTCAACCCCCAAACAACAACAAACACAGTGGTGTCGCATCAACACCAGCTTCCCGCTTTCCATCTTATCTCAGTCTTGTCTCGTCAGTTAAGGGACAAGCGCAATGCCCCTACGGTGACCGGCCTTGTGGCCCATGTACACACTCCAGGTGGCAACATCCTAATCGCAAGCACACAAGTCAGTAACTGCAATAAACAGCGGAAAGGGCAGGAGGCTGGTAAACATACCCTCGTAACAACCGATCCCGCCCCCACGGTCGACCCCTTCCCAATCCTGACACCTGGCAAAATAACCACATTGGCCGCAATCCACACATCATCCTCGATAATGACTGGTTTTCCGTACTGTGTACCCTGGTTGCCCTTGCGATACCGCGGGTTGGTGCTGCACGTGCCGGTGTAGATGCAAACGTTCGGGCTAATGATCACGTTGTTGCCGATGCTGACCTCGCACACATCGTTGATCAGACAGTTGCGGCCGATCGATACGTGATTGCCAATGTGGATATTGTACCCGTAATCGCAGTTGAAGGGCGCCTCAACCGTGGCGTTCTCGCCCACGCGACCACGGTGGGTGACGGGTGACAACTGGGTCGGGGACAGTTGCACGCCTTCACGTGGGTGCAAGATGTCGCGAAACAGCCGGGCGCGCTCGGGCGGGGAGACGCCAAGGTTGGGGTTGGTCGAGTTGTTGAACCTCCAGCAGGCTGCGTTGCACCGCTCTCGCTCCAGCACAAGCTCTTTGTCGAAGGGATAGTAAGGTCTCCCGTTCAGCATCTCCTCCTTCTGCTGGCGTGGCCGACTGGAAGGAAATTGCGCATGGGAAAGTGCAAGCTGTGCTGTCGCTTGGGTACTACTCGAGGGCGGTTGAGGCGAGACCGCCGAGGGCGGCGCCGGCGGTGTCGAGGTCCTGCCCCCATGCAGCATGCTGCTGAACGGAGGGTGGGTTGATATCGTGCTCTGGGGTGGTGGTGGTGGCGGTGGCGGCGCGGGTGGCTGTTGCTGGTCCGGGTCGGTCCGCGTAAGGTCATGGAGTGGCGGCACCCGTTGATACTCTTTCGGGGTGCGGTCGGAGAAGGCGGAAAGGGTGGTCGAGCTGATTGGGGTGGGAAACACGTTCGCAGACGTCGACGTTGTGTACCCGGACAGAGCCGAGAGCTTGTTGTCGGGGCTTCTGATAGAGCTTGGCATGGTCGATGCGGTCAACCTGTCGTCGTCGGACTGTGAAGGGCGGCCCTGCGGCGGCGTGATCCGGAGCTGGGGCTGGCCGCGGTTATATGGCAAGGAGTCACGTTTCCCTTGCTGACCCAGCAGGGGCGGTTGTTGGCTGCTGTTGTACGGGGGTGGTTGTTGGGGCATGCCGTATGCTCCAGGGGGTACATAGTTCGGATCCTTCGACTCAATATTGACCTGCGCTGGCTTGCTCTCCGGCTTATTGGGCCAGGCCCCCCTTTGCGGGGGATACCCGGCACACACAAATCCGCCCTTGTAACAATTGTTGCCTGTGCGGATTTTGTCAGCCGCTTGAATCGGCCGAATGCGGCCACATCACGCGGCCATGCGTGTAAACAAGCGCGTATTGGGGGCGAATTTTTAGGAAACACAAGATGGGGAAAGGAGGCAAAACGGGACACGAAAAAAGAAAAAAGAAAGGAAACTAGGATGTTTTGTTGGGGTTCATTCGTTGACTTACATTCAGGCTTCTTCTCGTCACACTTCTTCTTCCGCTTCCTGCACGTGAGACACCCGGTTTTCGTGCGGTTGCTAAAATTGCGCTTCCTCTTCTTGGGGTCCGACTGGAGAATGCCGTCTCGGCGGTGCTCAGGTGTGTACTGGCCGGGATACATGGAGCGGTCGTCGCCTTCCGGGCTCTGATCGTCATCGCCATGGCTCGTCGCCCTTCGCAGCATCTCGCCCACGGGTTCCTCTGACTGCGCGGATACCGGACCTGCTGAGTAAGGAGCCTCATAACTCGAGGTGCGCTCGTCCCTCGCCCGCTCCGCGCGCCAGTGCTCCACGCTGTCCCGCCTGTCGTCTCGTTGTCGGCCCCGATAAAGGTCCCTCTGCGGCGTCGTACGGCCATCACGTGGTTCTGATGGTTGGCGCTGTGATTCGTAGTGCTCGGATCGATCCGATCGTTCTGACCTTTCCGATCTCTCCGATCGCTCCACCCGTTCTAGTTGTTCAGTGCGCTCGGCCCTTTCCGTCCTTTGAGGCGGCGATGGTAGCCGCTCTCTCCTTGGTGAGTCCGAGAGGGAGCGTTTGCGCTTATGCGATCCTTCGACTTCTGATGAAAATGTGGCCGCGTTCGGAAAGGGAGTCCTCTCATGGTTGGTGCTGCTCCGGCGTTCCAGCGCCTCGCGGTTGCCCCTTTCCCTCTGAGTTTCCCTGTCCCGCTGGCTCTCCCGTTCCCTCTGGTGGTGATGCCCTTCTGCAGGCCGCGGCTCTACACTGGCCGGTTCCCGGTTTGGTTGCTCGCCGTCCGTCGTCCCATTAGTCCCTGCACCGCCGGCGGACTTTGGTGAGCCCCCATTCAACGCTGTGAACGTCGCCATATCCTTGATCATCTACCGCCTTTCTGAAGCGGTCACCAAAAATTCGTCCGTGCCCGCAAAACGCGTAGTTTCAAGTGAGATATCGTGCAAATACGATCAGAGTTGCGGGTGAAACCCGTCAATCAGCTCCACACACAATCCTCAGCTCTGGCAACGGAATTCAGGATGGACGGGTCGTTCTCAAGATTGTTGGGAACTGCTGGTCAAAAGTCTCGTGGGTGTGGTGGGCGTCTGTTGTCGAATCGCGCAGCGACCGTAGCAGGAAGAGGGGAGCTCTGGGTGTGACAGATAAATGAGATGCCTGAAGCTGGCGGATCTAAGCGAGTTGGTGCCCGGGATCTGAGTGGGTGAGGAGGCGTTTGGAACATGCGGTGCGCAACGCAACGCGATGAGAGAAGAAAAAACTTAAAGGCTGGTGCGGGTCGCAAGGGCCCGTTCCTTGGTGAATCAACAAAAGCAGCTCCCCGTTTGCTCCGGTTTGCGCGCGGCAGAAGAATGAGTTGAGTGGGAAAAAAACGCGTGACCAGGCTGCTGCAGCAGGATGCGAACAGCAGGAAGGAGCTGGTTGAGATGCGCCAGTGGTGTTGGAAGGTGGGACCCGGTCGGTGCTCGTGCGTCCGCAACTTCCAGCCCTGGACTCGTCTCTGGTCTCGGGTGGCCGGGGTATTGGCGGTTTGGTCCCGTCGTTTTGTTTTTCGGGTGAAGATTCAACTCCGGAAAATCAACAAAGAAAACTCGGGTCAACTCCGGAAAATCAACAAAGAAAACTCGGGAGTACCTGTCGGAAAATTCAAGGCGCACTTCCTTTTGGTGGATTTCGCTCGTGATAAACGCGTGGTGAAGCGGGCGCTTGCTCGTTGCCGTGTAATAAGCAAACGACTGGTGGAGGCTGAGCCGGGCGTGCACACGGTGGGCGTTGAGGCGAGGTCCCAGAATGCGGCGATGAAGACGGCTGCAAATCGGCGGCCCGATGTCCACACGACAACCCGGGGTTGAAATGCGACCAAAAACACACGGCAGTCACCAGAGACAGCCGGTTTTCGAAAGAGGCGGAAATCAGCGAAGCGTCACGCGATGTCCCAAGTGCCACCGCGTCGCTTCTCTCTCAGGTACAAGCTGATTGCTGCTGGGTTAGACAGCCTCAGGGCTGGGTTTGTTGTCGCCGCTGTCGCTGTGGTGGAAAGGTGGGAAAACCGCTCGGTAGGTCAGTAGGTGATGCTGAGATTGGCGAACCACTTCTACTGATGCGGTGCAAGAGGAAAGTTTGAACCGAAGCGCTGTCGTTCAAGTGGAATTGCACAGCGGCGAGATTTGATCTGTGCGCGAAGTCCAAACTGACATGCGCCCGTCTCCCGTCCGTGATGCGACTCTTCCTCGGCAGCCTGCTCCCGAAGCTCGTCGACAATTGACGAACTTGACTCAAAAAAATCGAGGATGATGCGCGAGATCGGTGATCCGGGCACAAAGCAAATTTACCCAGCCAGGAAGGTCCTGTCGTCGCGGAGTCGTTGCCAAATAACTAGTCGTCCAAAGGATCCCAGCCCTTTCTTTTTCGAGTTTGCTGGGTGATGGCGCTTGGCTTTCTTTAACGCGCGATTATGCTGCGCCTGTCGGAACTAGGGCGGGCGGATTCGCGGTGCCGCAAATGCAGACAATACCTCCGTTCGCTCAAAGTGTATAAAACAAATTGAAAGATATCGCAAAGTTTCGGGCGCCGAGGATGCGGAGAAAAAGGGCCTCCCGTCTTCGATAAACTTCCCCCGTGGCCTCGATTACGGATGTGGTGGTGGTCTAAAGAGAGGGGGGGGCAGGAGAAGAAAAAGGAAGGGAGAGGTAACCAGAAAATCCGGCACTCTGTCAAGAGCTCACAGCCAAACAAGCGCCAAAAGAGAGAAAAGGGTCCCGCTCAGCCGTCGTGAGTCGCACCGCACAGACGCCGGCGGGTGTGGAAGGCTGGATGACAAGCGGCGAGATCTGGCAAGCAGGGGGGCCCTGGTCGGTCACCATGCGAGGACTGCCGTGTGCCTGAATTACCATGGGGTGTTGGGGAAAGGGGGCCGTTTCGCGGCGGACAACGCGGAAGTTGGGGCGCCCAGTGTGAGAAAAGGGAAAGTCCCTCCGATTAGAACGGGGACCTCGCGCTGACGTTTCGTTTCGTTACGACAGTTACCTGACGGGCGGACAAGGGGACACAGTACCTAGGGAGGGGGTCTCGAAGCCCAGAATGCCTGACCTAACTTTAAACATCCGCGCTTCACTTCACAGATCGATGCAAGGCGTTTGTTTCCTCCCCACCGGTGACTGTGACAGTATCCCACACATCGTTACGCAGGACAAAGCCCGAGATCAGACCAGCCAACCCCTCGTCGAGCTTGGACAAAGTACCACATCGTGGACAATGCCCAACCAAGAGGTCGGCGGCACGCCGCAGAGACGCGGGCAGAGCGGGGATGTGGGGCCACCCACGAATGTACCAGTACGCCCAAAGGTTCCCGCAGTACTTCCCCGTTTCTTTTGGCCGGGTCCATGTGGGGGGTGGCTCCCCTTCCCTCACTGAGGAAGCAAGTGCGGAAAGCGACCCGGGAGCCCACCAACTGTCGCGGCTTGTGGCGCGCGGTCACCATCCCGGTTCTCTTTGGCGAGCCCCGCCTGAGTCGCTTGCGGTCCTGCACGGGCCACTCTAGGGCCGAAAAGAGACACCCGGTCAATGGGCAGGTAAGACGAGCTCCGATGGGCATTGTTCGTCCTCAGCTTGCGGTAAAGAAGTTTGTCCACCGAATAATGAATGACGAGCTGCTGGGAGGGTTCGACTCGTCGGGGGGATCCGACTGCCGCGGTTCCCCGAGTTTACAGGATTTCAACTCCCGCCTCATGACGGCGGTCTCGGCTCTTGTCAACCCGCCGGAGTCGACACCGAGCTTGCGTGGGAAGCGCGGAGTTGGTTGCGCACGCGTGGGTTGGCTTTGGTAGGGAGGCAGGTCTCCTTCAAACTCAGCCCGAGAGGCCACGCAAACGGTATCGTGAGGGACCAAATCTGCCAACACGCCAAGCTCGCAGGTGAGATATGAAGCGACCGCAGTAGTTTCATGCAGTTTCCGGGTTCTTGTTCACCTCAACCCGAGCGTTGGCATCCTGTGGCTCAATCAGCCGCCAGAAAGGTTCAAAGCTCCCTGAACCGCCCCACCAGCACTCAATCGGGCCAACCGCTCGAAAACCTTTCACGGCGTCGCCAGTCGAGCCGCGGCATTATCCCAGCAGATCTGCCTCACCTCGCACCAGGTGGGAGGGGGGAATCTGCGCCCCTCGTTGACACCGTGTTGTCGGATCACGGTTTGCGTGCCCACATTTCCACACCGAGACCCAGTGCAGAATAGGTTTTCTATGCTTCTAATCTGAGTCGGCGGAGGAACTAACGTTACGGTGACGACCTGACCATCTGCACGGGTGATCAGGCTGTGGACGGCGGCCGACCATCGCGCAGTTTTCAGTACGATGGTACAACCCTCGGAACCGTTTAGTGGCACCGACGAGGATATAAGCCGAAAGACGGTGCGACTCGGCATCCCTAAATGTCAGAGATGGAGACGGGCAACGGGCCCGCTTCTTCCCATCAAACTTGACTTACCTTCCAAGTTGTAAATCGAAGCTCTAGTTACAAAGGACTTGACGGTTGATGAACCTACATACACAGTATACCGGAATTGGGCTAGCCCGCTGGATTAATCAATCCTACAATGATGCACTCTCGAACGAGAACGAATAAAACCATGCATGCCGAGTCGAACATGCTTCGAACGAGCAAACACGCGCATTGAAGCGAGCCCTTGGGGCTGCTTTGGACGCTGAGTGGCCCAGGATCCCGCATTCGCAGCCATGATTCGCTGTTGCTAACGCAGCCCCTCCCAGCCGGTTCTTGAGTTCACTCGAAGGTGTCGCAACAGCGGCCAGCCGCTTGCTGAGCTTCTTCCTTCGTTCAATCGTTCGGCTTGTTGTGGGCTGCCTTATCCAGATCTGGCCAAGTGCTCGTGGTGTTCTCGTGGTCAAGGACGGAGGTGATGTCCCTCGCACTTTTTCGTCACATTCGATGGCAGCATTGGCGTCGTCTTCCTCCCGGTGACGGTTAGCGCATCACGAAGGCGTTTCTCTGCGCCTCGCGCGTGCTCTAGGCGCTGGGTGTCATCGGTCCCCACACTCGGGCGAGCGACGGGCCAAAGGTCTTGTTCGAGGGAATGGAACGCAATCAGTAATCTTCCGACGCAACATCTGAATCATGCCGCGCGGGGGGTTAATTATAGCACGGATTGTGTGAATAACTTCCTGGCGGTCCTTCTTGTAGGACTGTTCACTTGTTGGGCGTGTTGGGCCTCCCACATTGTGGGATAGTTTTCCAGAAGGGTCAGTCCGGTAAGAAAGCATAGCGCGCAATGTTTCAGCCGACACCCCATGCACTGTGCAGAGGCGCACCCCAGACCCCAGCCGGACTTTCCATCTTGAGATAGCCGCGTCTAATTGGGCGACTGATTGATGCAGGTGTTGTAGCCGTGATTCGTCAGTTTTCAAAGCGCTGCAGCCAATGAAAAAAACAAGAAGAAAGGGGCGGCGTTCCCCGAGCAAGCGAGGGAAATTCAAGGCTTCAAGGAGATCGCGACAGGCATGGACCGAGAAGCAATCATGCGTGGACCAGGGAGTGTTTGTTTTATTCTTAGAAACACTTTTGGAACTCAGAAATATCCGTACACGACTGGAAACCGCATCTGCGCAACATTGATGCGACAGAAGAGGCGGCTACCGCGATTCGCACCTGCACCCGATGGCAGTCATCACAGTTTTGCCGAGCCTAGGGTTCGACGGTCGACCACGTTTGGCCAAACCGCGTGGCGTTACGTTCACCAGCAGCCTCTAGTTTCTCCACCCACCTCATCCATGTGTGCAACCATCACGCGCAGCTAACAGGACCACAGCCAGCGCCTCGCAGCCACATCTCGCATTCCTGACGGCTCATTGACGGACAAACACCTCGTTTCAACCTTCATCTCTCCAATCGCCAATCTTCCGCCGAAGCCCCGGGAACAAGCTTGTTGTGTTACTATGCAGTGTAAAGAAGCCTGCGAAGTACTATGTAGGACGTACACTCACTACCGCATGCTCACAAGCCGGGACGCCGGCTGACAGGCGGTGTGCGTTTGGCGACTGACCGGCAGCCAATGCTGGCCAAGTCTCAAGAAGCTCTTCCCAGTTCTCTGCTACACGTACCCGAACGGCGGTCGAGGGAGAGCAAACCCTGGGAAATCCGTTGCTGCCAAGTCACTTTGAACCAGCGTCCAGATTGAACCCCCGTCAACGTCGAGTCCTCTCCGTCTAGTGTATGTATGTATACTACACTACATATCCATAGTACGGTAATCGGTCAGCGATGATGCAAGAGAAAGGCAAATCCTCGGCGATCATCCCAACTCGTCGGCGGGCTACTAAATTTGTTCAATTGCTGACCGTGGGGCCGAAGAACCCTTGGAAATAAGCACTCAGAGCGGGCGTGAAGTCAGCCAGCGGGGTGTCTCTCAGCCGAATTATTTTGACCTCATGGGACGAAGTCTTGATTGCTCTTTCAACTAAGCTAAATTCAATAGACTACAATTTCTCAGTTGTATCCGCAAAAGTTCCCGGCTTCCCAACCAAGTCACCACCGAGGCTACCTTCACTTCGACCACGCGCAAAAGTAGTCCTTGCACCCTTTCACCACCCCGCAGTCCCTTTCAAACAAAATGTGGCTTTCGAAGCGCCCAAGGTGTTCTTTCAAGGCTGATCGCCCTATCAAAACACCGTGGAACCTCCTTTACATATTTTCGACAGGTCTCTTCGCTGAGGAGCACACCTGCCCACCAACAAGCCATTCAGTGGCTAGGCGAAAGCCCGAGGCTGGGATTTTGACCGTTGCCAAAGGAAAGTCGGGCGCGGCGCTACCCTCCGTCTTCCAACTACGCTTGACAGACACGACCTCGCCAATCTCACCTTGGTGGAACAACGACCGAAACGAAGCCCGAAACCTCATGCACACCGAGAGGCGGTCTCTACCAAACATGGCCTTGCCGCCGGCTGCAGCTGCACGGTTGCAAGGCGTCGTCCAACCTTGGCGCTTAACCGCTGCAAGCTGCCTTGGCTCCGCACCGCCTTGACGCTGTAGCGGCGCTTACCACGACTAACAGCGCGTACAGAGGGCCTTACTATTGGCTGACCTCACCCCACGATCTCGATTGTCGTCGACCGTCGCCATGGTATTGGACGCCAAACAAACCACCCAGTTTCTCAATCCGGATAGAAACATGGCTTCGAAACGTCGAGGCACACGACTGGCTGCCCTACGATGATGAGGTCCCTGCATCATGACGGACGTTGACCGGCATTGGCGCCCTTGCAACCCCCCCTTCCCTCTCGGCCTCTTTCCCGGGACGTGGCTCTCTGCACGGATGTCCAAACGACTGCAACCTGGGCCCGGCGGTTGCGGCTCTTCGCCACTCGGCCGGGATGACATGCATCGACCCGGCGGTTACCGCTGCCGCGGGCGGCAACACCCCATGGTGTCCGCCCGGGGAAAACGTGACGCGGGCTGCCTGCGAGTCCTCGAAGCTCACCCGCCGCTCCCATCTCGTCGTCATGCTCCCCTCTCCCCAGACGCGGGCCGCACCACACCCCCTTCAGAGATCCAAGCACCCCCACCACCTCGTTACCGCCGGCGCGGCTACCCTAGACGCCTGCGACAAACAGCCTTATCACCGGCATGGTGAGATCTGGATCTGCAGTGGTGGGCGGCCCTGTATAACGAGCGAGGTTTCCCCCCTTACAAAGTACTGGTACATCACCTTCGATATCTGCCGGCTCCGCGTGTGGTACCTGCATGTCTGTTTATATATAGACCGGACCCACTTTCAACGACCTGGCTTCTTCTCGACGCCTGTTTCGAACACCTTCACACCCACACCCACCAACGTAGGTCACATGGGTTCCGCCCACCTCATACAACAGGAAACACGAGGTCAACTACCAGAATCATTGGTTGAGGTTGTTTGTTCCGCGATCTTTTTATACCTCCCGCTTGTTTCTCTCCGAGAAGCAGACGCCTCGCTTACCTTTGCCTTGCTTCCGACCCGCTTCTCTCTAGACTCGATACCACCCCCCCGGATAGCCAGCGTGCCAACCAAACATCGCTATTCACCTACTTTCTCATTTCCCCCTTATCCCTCCAAGCATATACCCAAAATCAATCTCCTCCCACCTACATCCAGGGGGTTTACCCACTTACCTTACTGTTACAACGGGAATAGCTAACCGCGCACACCTACCCTCCTCTGTGCTCTTCCTTCACTATGCGCTCTGCAAACTTCGAAAAGCTCATCACCATATTAACCGCCCATTCAGAACACCGTCTT